CGAGCCTGAGGGAAGGCGCCCACAACAGGACCAGAAAAAAATTCCCCCAAAAACGGAAAAATCCTTTTAAAAAAACGCGGCCTTTTGCCAGGAGCTGGCGCTCTACCGGCAGCGTTTGGAATCGCTGCCAAGTGATGAGGCGAGTAATACGCTGTGTCTGAACGGATGAAACCGATACGATTTTTTGGTGTTGAGCTGTCTGAATAGGTTGAGTATGGTTGAGTCTCGTCCATTTTGCTCGAATCGTTTTTATGTTCTGAGCTATGGACGAGACTGAGCAAGCAGCAAGATCAGGGATGAATTCCCGTGGCACACCAGATGATGTACAATTGTCTATCTACAAGAACAATCCTGATTCATAGAATAGTGAACAAGAAGCTACTAGTAACAAGAAGCTACTAGCTCCTGGCCTCGCTACTAGGAGCAAGGACGCTACTAGGCTCCTGGCATCGCTACTAGGAACAAGGATGCTACTAGGGGCTCCAACCTTGGTGTGTCGGTCTGTGTGGCCTGGGGGCCGCCCATGTGAACATGTCTCCCCATCGCACTAGGTGGCGACCGCTCAACAGCTTAAACGCTTGAGTGAGGCGAATTCTTGACTGTGCGGGGCTAGAGGTACCAGAGAAAGTGTTGGCTTTTTGATCCAATTCTGGGCAAACTCAAGGAGACAAGTTCTGGCAGTGGAGTTTGTTTGCGATTGCAACACCGGAAGCCAACTTGGCAATAGACTGTATTAAAGTCATCCCGTTTATCCCGAACTAGGCTGTCCAAACTCGACGGTGGAACTGTTTTTGACATTTTATTTTTTAAAAGCTGTTCACGTTTGTACGAATGTGCAAACAAGGTCATAGGGGAAGTTGCTTGGGAGATAGAGGATTGTTGAGGAAAACATGCATTTCGAACTGCCATGTAATGACGAAGGCATTGTTCGAGCACAACTGTTCGTTCAACATTAATTACAATCGTGCGTTTGCCACACAGGTTCAAGATTGCCTGTACATGCATGGGGAGCCACTCCTACACACCCCGATTGCTACCCCCTTCAGGAAGAGCTCAGCAAAGGGCGGTCAACAACCGGAAGATTATTGTTTTTTGCACTCGTTCTTTCAATGTCTGGTCCACACCCACCAGTAGTAACAGGTGCATCGCTAGTAGTAACAGGTGCCTTACTAGTAGTAACAAGAAGCTACTAGGAACAATAAGCTTCTAGTAGCAGGATGAAGCCACCGCTTGGGATTTATTTTCTGTAGGATGTGGGAGCTCTCAAGCTCGTCATGGTCAAGGATACCGAGGCTGTCGAGCTACGATGCCGCATGACCGCAATAGGAGATGGGGAAAATGATCTAGTGGCTAGCGATTCTGAAGGGCCTACTGTGAAACCAAGGCTGGTTTCTGTTGAGATACGGATAAACTGGCTGAAGTGATAGACCATTGCCACTTGCCACGGCTACACGTGTGGGTTAACCCGAGAGGAAATGGGTGATGCAATGATACCTCAGGTTTGCCACAGCCTTTTTGTGTAGGTAGTCCAGACACAGGGACTGAAACTTTCTTTCCGGAGTTTGTGAACGTGTAGACGAGACTGAGTCACTTCAGTTGTACATTTTACATCATTTTACCGCTCCAACGACTAGTGGATTCAAAGGAACACAAACATGACAAACGAGTAGCAGAAAACGCTCGACAAAGTGACAAAGCACTCCGCTGATGCCCAGGCACTCAAAAACTCCGCTCATTGGAGGACTCTACTCGTTTCTCGACTTTGGACAGGTCATAGAGGATATTCATGGATTTTTGGGTTCGGTATTTCATGGTCATATTGCAAGAAGAGTTCGTTCATTGCCATATCGCTGTTTGCCCATACCCCTATATAGATGAAAAGACCGCCTGGGATATGCAATCGTCAAGAAATGCTTACAAACAAAGTTTGGCGTAGAGTCGTCGAGCGAGAAATGCTGAAGTCACTCAGTTTTGAGTAAACTGGTCAGAGGTTTCAGTCGACCAAAGCCTGTCGAGCCGGTCCAACGGTCCAAGCCCGCCAGGACGTCATCAAAAACATTTCTTGGGACCTGGATGGAGCTGAGAAGCAGCTGAACCTGGGACTGAAGGAGGTTGGAGGCCATCGCTACTAGGGTGGAAACAAAGAAAAATGAAAAGGACGAAAAGGAAAAAAGGAAGGTAAGGCCACTTTCTATTTCATGCATGCATGAGGGGATGTTGGGGTTGAAGATGGGGAGCTTCGCCAGCCTTCCGCGATTGTTGGAAAATCCGTTTCACGTAGCTGGTTGCTGTGTGGCAAGCTGAATGTGATTTCCCTCAATAGCTGAGCCTGTCGAGGAAAGAGCTGGCCAATCAGTTCGCCAGCGTGAACCAGATGCAGTTGCACATGCAGAACCTGGATGGTGGCTTGGTCAAAGCCTTCCGCAGCTTACGCGTTTTACACATCCTACAGGGACCAGAGTTCGAAAGAAGAGGAACAAGTCATAACAAGTCCATGAGTTGATTTGGTCCACTCAGATTTCCACCAGGATGAACAGACTTCAATAGTTGCTTGGTGAGAGCAACTGTTTGTTTCCGGCTTTCTGAACAAAGATCTAAGTAGTGGAAAATCAAGGGTCTTCTTCCGGCAGCCAACATCCTAACTTCAGATTTCTACTTTAAGCACCAAGAAGTCAAATAGCAATGGCCTCCAAGCTAATAGGGATGGCCTCGAACCTAATAGCAAAGAAACTTAAGGGTTTTGGGTACCTAAGTGAGAAATCCAGTACATGGATCCAGAGAGGTAAAAGTTGGCTAGGAAGATGTTGTGTAGCTTTCTTCTTTTCGTGTCAACGAGGTCAGATGGAGATCGTCACCGGGCTGATCCACCGGATGGCCTCGGTCCAAGGGGCAACGCTGTTTGGCGTTTCTGCAAAGCCGTGGTTGCTTGTGCCCTCCAACCTAATAGCGATGGCCTCCAACCTAATAGCATGGTTGCCTGTGCTAGACATTGGTCCCAAGTCTACGTTGACCATGCTGGGGCACCATCGGCCACTACTAACACAAACTGACTTCGACAGGCTGCATACCGAAGGCATTCTTGTACACGCCAATGGGTTTTGTGCCGGTGTTCCTCCAATCTAATCCACAAAACTTTGAGATGTCCTCCCGATTGTATTTACTGGTGTGGCATCAGTCGGCATCAGTGGCTTTGGGGCTAGTTTTCTTTGTCTTTAAAGATGGTCAAAGACACGATTTTTAGGATGTCCTTTGGACCACAGCCAGATTGACCTTCAAGGGCAAGTCTGCCCATTTGGATCACTTTGGAAAGGCACCCGCGAAGCTCCAGAGTCTAGAAGCGATCAGCTGGTTTTGGATCACCACTTCCCCAAGCAGATTCCCATTTCTCCGAATCCTCATGCCTCAAATATCCTCAAATCATCACACTGGACACCTGTCCATCAGTCTTCAAGTCCTTCGAACAGGCCGTGCTACTCCGTGTTTGCTCTTCTTTTGCGGACAGCAATGACGAATCATTCCACAAACTTCACCTACGATGATTCTACCAGAAAGAAAATAGCGAAGGTTGCAAATTGCCACGGCAGAGTCTGAGTGCGCTTAAGTACCCCTATGTCAAAACCTGGCTTTGGGTAGGAACAAGTGCATCGCTACTAGGAACAAGTGCCACGCTAGTAGTAACAAGAAGCTACTAGAAACAAGTGCATCGCTTTGGGAAGGTCTGGGTGGTGCGTGGGGCGGTGCGCGGGGTGGTGCGGAAGGTCGTGCGGGATCCGCGGGGAACCGCGGGGAACCGGATTCGACTAGTAGCTTATTGTTACTAATAGCTTCTTGTTACTACTAGCGTGGCACTTGTTCCTAGTAGCGATGCACTTGTTCCTACCGCTACCTCGTTATTTGCTTGTAAACCCCGGCCGTCTTGTTTGCGCACCACCCCACGCACCACCTCCACACATTCCAGGGCTCCAAAAGCGCAAAACTAGTTAAGCGCACCAAGCTTGCGTTAAGTTACAAGTTACAAATGTTTGAAGAAAACAAGACAGACTTTTTCTTTATTTCTTTATTCTACTTCTTCAGACTCTGCCGCCTGAGGATGCCATGGGTCGATTCCTACAACATATCCAGAATGGCATGCGCGGTGAAGTCTGAGCCATCTCGTGGAATCTCGCTGAACTCGGACAGCGACCCCCTCCCCCCGTGATCCCTACGCGAGAAAGTCTCAAGGGGTTTGGTGGAAAGTTTTGAGACACAAAGGGCCTCAAGGAGCTTTGTCCCTGCTATGGGAGACCAGGGTGGTCAGCTTGTAAGTTTCTAGATTGGAGGTCATCGCTCTTGGGTGGGAGGCCATTCCGGTTTTTCCGAACATTTCAGAACTAATCACAAGTATCTTTCCCGGAATCGGCTCCAATGTGTCCATCTTCAGGACAGGGAAGATTCACCCAGACCAGGGACTTAACAAGATGCATCCATTTATTTCAACATGTGATTTAGCCTAGTCTTTTGCTGCGGCTTGAGAAGATCTTGCGATTTCCTAATCTTCCCTGAGAATGCCATCCACAAACATGGAGCCGGAGGTTGGCATGTGTGGGGAGACGGATTTCATCCTGGGCGGATCGGTTTGATCGAATCTTCGATCAAAAGGCTTCTTTCTTTCCTTGTTACTAGTAGCTTCTTTGTTACTTGTAGCGATGCACTTGTTGCTAATA